AATAAGAATTCGCTTCCGTAATCTCAATCAATAGCCGCCGAAAGAGTACTGAAGGGAGCCTGTAGCGCCGCTGGAACAGGGTTTCGTCGTAGACCGGATTAGGACCGAGGTAGTCCCGCATTATAGATTCGTGACCAAGTATAATGTTCCGTTCTCGTGTTTTCATCCTTCCGGGGACTGAGCCCCGGCGTGACCGGCCTCTTCGTCTCTTAGAACGGCGACGTATAATCAGAGTTAGAGCGATCTCGGCGTCAAAGCCATCAAGAACATCGATGATATCGTCATCGTCGTCGTGGCGTAGCAGCGCTTGAAGTTCCATCTATGTTGGACAGCGACCAGACGAGTGGTCATAGACAGAAGTATTTGTATTTCTATTTTTGACTAGCCAATCAAAATAGATTTAAACTCGTGATTAGAAATAGGTTGGCCAATGCGACTGGAGATGCTCTGAACACGTTCATCTTACTTTTTTTTCTCTATCCAGTGACCAATAGGCCATAGTCGCAAAAAGTGAGATTCTCGCGAATTATGGATGTAGACATTGGATACCTGTGATATTTACGGTACAACACTATATGAAGCGAACAATTACGATTTTGCAATAAAAACGCATAATTAGTCGAAGCCGCGCTTTTTCGGATCGAACTGTGTCAGTTTGAGTGCAAATGATTCGCAGCTGTAACACTCAGTTATTCAAAATAATATCCTATTTTTTCAATCAGACATTAATATTTTAATTAAGCATGCATTTCGAATAGCCTGGTATGACCGCCATTTGAACTCCGCTGCACACTACAGACATTGGTTCATATGTCGTCTAAATAGCTACAAATGTTCAAGTGGGTAGAGGGAAGAGGATGCAGGCTTATCGTATGGCGAGGGTGGAAATAGGCAGGCTTATTAAGGAGACGCCGACTTGGTAGTCAATTTCGGTGAAAGTCCTGACTTGAAGCTTTAATTTTTGTCGGATCGTACTTGTCTCAACTTTGACCTGGTGATTTGCCACACTAATCGAACTTTACTGGAATAAAACAGTTGAAGTGCTAAACACTAGCATCTCCATTCTACGCTACATATTATTCAAGATAATTATTACGAACCCGTATTTAACTCGAATTTTCATGAAACGGTGCGCCATACGCTAAGATTAACTTTTTGTGACTGTTATATAATAGAACATCATTTACGGAGAAAGTGCAAACACTCCAGATGAGCGACTATGCAGGAACAGGAGCTGCTGCCCTCTAAAAGGCTTAGCAAGATGCCCGCATCATGATCTTTCGTATGCTGCTCTCGGCTCCAGAATCGGACACTGCGTTCCCAAGATAGAGCATTTAAAATTGTACTGCATATTCGTGTGGAATGGAGCTGCTAAAAACAATTGATCTAATGACTTATGTCGTAACAATAGTAAGGCCAGCGTGTCTCTAAAATAAACTATGATCAGCGGCGCATTTTATTTGTTTGTTTATTTTTAATGTTCTCCAATTTTCAATTCCCAATTGTTGATATGACTTTTAATTGAGAGGTGGGAGGCTGCCGCTCCCGTCCATTTGTGCAAAATCCACGCTCAGGTTGTGATTATACATTTACAATTTTAACGTGTTTCCAACATTTGCATACAAACTCGAAGGTTGTCTCAAAGTAGAACGTTGTATTGGAAATCGAACGGACTATGAATCGAATTGGTCTAGCGACCTTCATTATAGCATCACAATCCAGCACCGTAAGTTGTGGACAGTTTAAGGACAATTATGAATGTATTTTTTTTCACTCGACTTTCAGTTTACCGCACTAAAGTGTGGCAGGTCCAGAGCTATTCTTCTGTCAGGCATGTCGCACCGAACGAGGGTTCCAGCATGTCTTTAATGAAGTAGTTCAGCAGTTTGGGAGCATGACGACTCATTATCTTCAAGTAGCCCGTCTTGATGATGCCTTCCGTATTGAAATCATCGGCTTCGTAGTCGGGAATGAGATGCAGGAGAGTGCGGAATACAAAACTTGAGCTGTCGAAGCTTAACTTGAAATTCGACATCGACTGGTAGCTGAGGGAGAAAGATTTTACAGATGCGTCCTTGATCCTCTTCAACACCTTCTTTATGGTGTTCGCAAAGGGTTCTTTCGTGGTCGCATTTTCCAAGTGATTCTGAAGATCCGCAACTGTCAAGTTGGTACACACTGACGCAGGCGCATCCGGCTCACATGCGTACATATCCGCTTCTACTTCGACGAAAACCGTAGGTTGTACCAGCACAAACCTCAACTGAGCTTGTGCAGGCAGTCCCATCGCCTCAACCTTGGCATTCAAATTTACGTCGACAACAATATCACCAGATGAGATAGTTTCAATCGAAACAGAATTCGGCGAGGTCACGTTGAAGGGGTCGTACTTGCCAAGCATCGAGCCAAGTAGTTTATCAAACTTGGCAGTCTTGATCCCAGCATTTTGTAACAAGTCTTCGTAACGCCTGCTTGCCGGCGGGTCGAAAGCCACAGTGCCCACTGCGTAGTTCTTGTCCTAGTTCGTCTTTGATCTCGGCACACTAACACGACTATAGGCCACAGTAAAGCAGCCGGACTCGCGTCCTATTTATTAATACTCAATAAAGCACTACCCGTAGTGCTCTTCGACTCGCTCTCACTCGAATTGGTTGCTCCGTCTCTCACCACGAAGACTTCTCGTCAACGACCGCTGTCTTCCTTCCGATTCGCACAACGAACCGTCCCCAAGATCCCACGTACGAAGCCTTCTCTCGCTCGCGACCCCGGATACCTCAAACACCAGAGCCACCGAACGCCAGACACCACACGCCGCCTTGGAACCCAGCCCTTCGCACTACACGTCCGTTCAACTGCAGCCCACCGGTGGTACGTCTCCCACCGTCTCGCTCGCCACGCGTTCGCCTCAGAACTGGTGCTCACCGATGCACACCGCGCTTGTTCTCACACGAACTCGTCACTGCACACGAAGTCGGACTCCCACACACGAGCCAACTCCGTACTGCACTTCACGCTCTGGTCACTCGTCACCAGACCTCAAACCCGTAACTGCACTTGTTTTCGACCGCGCAGATTCGTAACTGAGTGATCAGCAGCCCTCCCACCGGCGACTACCGCCACTGACCATCACTCCTGGTGCCTGAAGCACCTGCAACGCACTCTCGGCATCTGTCGTGCCACCTCTTCGAGCCCTGTTTGACTCGATCGTCCTACTCACTTCTCGAACTTCGAACTTCACGGCACGGTCGTGCCGGATCTCCAGCTGCCCACCGTTACTTTGTACCCTTAGATTCACAGCCGATCTTCAACCACTACTCCGAGTCGCCATCCTCGGTGATCTTCGGTACTTCGAGGCGTGCGTCGTCATTTCCTGACGCTGCCGTCATCACTCTGTTACACGTCTTCCCCAATTTCAGAGTCTTCCACGACTCTGGCGTCCCGAAAGAGCCGCTCGTATTCTTTAGCGGAGACCCAGCGCCGTCCGTCACTCGTTGTACCTGCGCCGTTCCGTCGTCGTCCGACTGGCCGCAGTTCGTACTCGAGGACGTACTGTCCTGCCGCATTTCGGCGACGTCTTCGTCAAAGTTCCACCACGTACTCGTCCTGTCGACCCGTGCCGCTCGCACCCACCACTGTTCGTACTCGTCTCTTCGTGCTTCGTTCTCGTACGACTGCATTCGCTGGCGCCGTCGTTGCGTTAGTAGTCGCTCCTGGCGTCTCGACATCTGCTTGGACCTCGAACGCGCCTTCATGCTCCAATTGTTCTTCAAGATCCGCCGCTGCCGCGTTCAGTAGTGTAGCCGGGTAATAATAGCTAACTAAAAACGACGCGTGGGCAATAAATCGTTCTCTATCGCTCGCATCGTCTTCTCGTTCGACAAGGTAGTTGTCGTAGCCAGCGGGCTCGACCACTCGCATGGGTCCAAGCCACTGATGTTCAAATTTAGATGCCTTGGGTCCACGTGGCGGCCTATACATCCATACTCGGTCGCCCGTACCGAAGGATCTCTTATTCCGCACTCCCCGGTCGTAATACTTTGCTTGTCGGTGCTGCTCTTTCTCGCGTGCCTGCTCAGCGCATTTTCGGCTGCTCTCCATCGCCCTTAGCAACCGCTGATGATACGTCGTGAGTGCTCCCGCCTCGCTCACATTCATTCTTCGTAGGAGCTCGTTCGGTCCACGTAGCCGCCTCCCCATCATGAGCTCGTTAGGAGAGAGTAGAACCGTGGAGTGACGCCCGGAATTATAAGCGTACAACGCGAAATCAATCCACGTATCCCAATCTCGTTGCGTCTCATCGTTCATGTAAGTTGCTACGACGTCTTTCCAAGTTCGATGAAAGCGCTCTACTAATCCGATCATCTGGGGCCGGTACGGCACCGGATTCACCTGTTCTGCTTGTAGTAATAGGACGAGCTGTTCAATGATCTTTCCCGTGAGTTCTGGCGCGCCATCCGTCAGTAACTCGCGGAATGGTCCGAACCGTAGTACGATCTGCTTCATAAGGAACGTCGCCACATTTTCAGCCGTGTGCTGCTTCACCGTTGCTGCCACCGCATAGCGCGTTACATACTCGACTGCCGCGATTACGAACCGTTGCCCACCATCGCTGTCCGGTAAAGGCCCAGCCACATCCAAGGCCCACCTATCGCCCACATCGCCTCCTCTTATGCTCCGCAGCGGAGGCACCACCTCACGGGGACTCGCCTTACGACTCCCGCACTCTTGGCATCCACGCACGCATTGCTTCACATGTTCATGCAGATTTGGCCACCAATAAGTTTGAGCTACTCTTGCGTACGTATGGGGAGCACGTAAATGCCCTGCCCAAACTGAATCATGGCTCTCTTTGAAGACGACCGCCCACAATCTTGGTGGCAATACTACTCGATTACCTCCAGTCGTCTCAATCACCACCAAGCCGTGCTTTGTTGTAACGCGCCGTCCTCGATGTTCACCACTCTCGACGAGTCGCTGAACGAGCCGGCTCTCACTCTGCGCCCTCGTTATTTCATCGTCAGTAAGTTGTAGCGTCTCACTATTCGCACTTCGACGCGCTTTGTCTTGCCGTCCTTCACCTCGCCGTGCTGCACCGTGTCTGGCTGTCCTCGTCGTTTCTGTCGACCAGTGCGTATCGTCCTTACCTCGTATAGGACCCATACACCGTTGTTCGTCATCGCTCGACGTCGCCGTTCCCGTCCTGCTTTTTTTTTGTGGTCCGCTTCACTGGAGTTGGTTGGGTCGTCACGCTCGCTGTTGCTGCATTCGTCTCGTGCGTCGCCCTTGTCCTTGGTAGCGTTGGTGTTTGTCGTGCCGTCGCCTCTCGTCTGTCTTGCCGTCGTTGACCTCCACTACGTGACTGCACGGTCGTTTGTTGTCTTCGCACAGGGTCCTGTCGTTCTGGTCCTGAGGGCCGTCGTTCTTAGCCATCGTCGTCCTGTCGTGATGCATCTGGCGTCACTCCCGTCTCGTACTGCGTCTCAGCGCCTCGTGCGACCGCTGTCGTCCGTAGCTGTTCCTCTTCAGCACGCCGTTTCGCCGCTCTCGTGAAGGGCCGCGCTCTCGATTCTTCTGTCGCCGCCTTCGTGGTTTGTTTGGTCTCGTTACCTCCACCTTCTTTAGTCGCGCACACCCCTGTACTCGTCGTCGACTGTGCTGCCTCAGCCCTCGAGATCTTCGACTCACTTGTTGCCATCGATCTGGCCGCCGTCGCCTCGACCACACTGCTGTCCGTCGCACCACCTGTACCAATCGTCGTCTCACTATCCTTAGCCGGCGCTACCGAACCCGCCATTGCGCGACGTCTCGAGCTTCGCCGCCTACCAACTGCCGCCAACGTCGTAGATACCACGGGCGCGCGGGAGAGCGCGTCCACTACCACATTAGTGTTCCCCGGCCGATATTGTACATCAAAGTCGAATTCTTGCAAAGTGATTGCCCACCGATGTAGTTTCCAGTTAAGTTTGGACTTGTCATGAGCCACTTGAGAGCCGCGTGATCGGTCACGATGGTAAATCGCCGTCCGTAGAGATATGGTCTGAATAACTTAATAGCCCAAACAACCGCGAGGCATTCCAACTCGGTAATTCCGTACTTGCTCTCAGTAGGACTGTTCACTTTACTAGCGTATGCGATGGGTCGCCACCCGTCGCCTCCGTCCTGCATCAGGCACGCGCCCAAGCCGACATGGCTCGCGTCCGTCACCACGCGAAAGGGAAGCTGGAAGTTCGGGTACCTTAACAGAGGTTTCGTCGTCAACACCTGCTTCATTGTCTCAAATGCCGCGTTCTGAGACTCGCACCATTCCCAGTTCACATCTTTCCGTAGTAGTTTTGTAAGAGGCGCCATCATGGTGCCGAAACCCGGTACAAATCTACGATAGTAACCTGCGAGATGTACGAACCGCTTGACCTCCGTAGCGTCCGTGGGTCTCGGGAAATCACGAACAGCCGTAACCAACCGCTCCAATGGTCGAACGCCCTCACCACTAAGCTCGTGACCGAGGTATTCCATGGACCGCGTCGCGAACATGCACTTCTTTAACTTAAGAGTTAATCCCGCCGCCGACAAGCGCTCCAACACCGTGGCCAGCTCGACCACGTGCCGCTCGATCCCCCCACGCGTGAAGATAACGATATCGTCCAGGTAGACTAGGCAAGTAGTCCAGGTAAGACCTCGTAACACGCTATTCATGAGTCGTTGAAATGTAGAGGGAGCATTTGTAAGGCCAAACGGCATCCTCACAAATCTGTACAGGCCCTTCTTAGTAGTAATTGCCATCTTATCACGGTCGTTCGGCGCCATTATGATCTGCCAGTAGCCCGCCTTCAGATCCAATGTACTAAATAGCAGTGCACCGCCTAAGGCTTCCAGCGTTTCATCAATTCGAGGAAGCGGGTAGACGTCTTTCTTCGTTACTTTGTTCAACGCCCTGTAGTTCACGCAAAAGCGCACCTCGCCGTCCTTCTTTCGAACCAGGACGACAGGGAAGCCCCACGCCCCGTCGCCCTCCTCGATGACACCCGCTTTCAGCATTTTGTCGACATTTTCCTCCACGATCCCGTCCTCTATCTGCGCCTGTCTTCGACGCTTTAACATGATCGGCGTCGTATCCCCTGTATCAATGTGGTGATACACGTTCATCGCTGTCGCAGGTGGACAATCACCCGTACTCGCCGTCAGATTTCGATACACGCGCAACAGTTTTAGCATTAACGTTCGTGCGTTCGGGTCGTCTTCGCCAATGCGCACCTCGTCCTCGTCGTCCAGCGGTGTCACACTGTCGCCCAATTCGTCTAGCCACTGACCTACACGATTCATATCCAACTCGTCGTTCATGGACAGAATTGTCATCTTTTCATCAAGAGGCACCCAAGTGCCAAGCTCCTTCTTACTTGGTAGCCTAGCTTCCTTACTATTTGAGTTAATAGAAGGAACCAGTGCTCGGCCGTTTTTCGCCGTCGTTACCGTCGCCGCCAACATCACCGCGCCCGTGCTGCACGTGGGAACGAAGACGCCCACCTCTCCGTCCTTGGCCGTCACGGACACTTCTACTGGCACCACCGAACTGCCAGCGATGTGCATCTTACGCACCATGCGCACCGCATCCACTCTTGCGTTGCTCGCGCCATCGCCAGTCCGAAATGGGATCACAATCACACGCCCATCCTCTCTATAGCGAACTTCGTTACGGTCAAAGTCCATGGTCGCTCCGTGTCCTTGCATGAAATCCACGCCCAATAAGAATTCGTCCGTACACCCTGACACAATGCACGCGTCCACCGTGACCATCTCACCGAACACGCTAGTCAATCAAAACCTCCACACTCCGACGACGTCCAATAGAAAGCCGCCAATACCTTCGACGTAATCAACTGGCGCCTCCGTGGTCACGCGGTCGCCATATTGCATCCACTCGGTACCAGCCACCGTGAATCGCGCGCAACTATCCAGCTTCACACTACGTCGCACACCGTCCACAGTCATGACCGCCGTCGGGAGCCCGTCTTCCGACTCGATGTACTCCACAGCTTCACTACCTGCGTCCTTCTGTTGAATATCTCGTCCATTTTGATGCTTGACTAGACTCACACGCATCGGCTTGTCCTCGCCTTCTCCTTGGGGCTCGCTCGTCCGTCGCTGGCGGCGTTCTTCCAATGCTGACAACGCACCTGCGGCGTTGCGTTTCCGTGTTTCTTGTCGCTCTCGGGCAACTCGTACGCGCTCGGCTTCCTCCTGACGCTCGACACTGCGCTTTCTAGCTTGCACGTCCTTCACCCGCTGCTTCTTTTGCTGCGTCCGAGCATGCCGCTGTGCTGCACGGAGTTCGTCCACCTCACTGCCCTTCTTGTTGTCGACCGACGTCTCCGAGCCCGCGATGGTTACGCGCATAGTGGTCACCACGTTGGCCACAGACATCGACGCTAACTCCTTCGCATGCTCCAACTCGCCCGACTCTTCGGACATGCCCATTTCTGTCGTCTTCGTCACGTCCATCGAAATGTCCCTTGTTCCTTTTGTAGTTGCCAGCAGCACGTCGGTTACCACCGTGTCTGCTGTGGTCGGGCTCGCGCCTTCACCAGTCTCAGTAATCTCCTGGGTAGTCCCGGCGCCTTCCCCAGCTGGCTGTATTTCGTCACCACGTCCACAAAGATGCTGTGCACGCACACTGCTCACACGTTGCTCTTCCTCGCGATCTACACGCACAAACTTAACCGCTGCCATGGCTGGCCTTACGGTCGCTACGTAGCGGGCTGCTCGTTCCCCGTCACGCACCGCCATTTCACACTCAATCTGCTCTTTGGCCGTGGCAAGAGCCTCTTTCTCGCGTACACCCGGAACTCCACCACACGCCAACCGCACCTCGACCGGTAATGCCACCAGTGCCGTACTCACATCGTCCTTGTTCACACCGTTCGGCTCGTTCTCGGCACCGTCTTGTGCCGCATCCTCACCCATAATCGTTTCCATGGGGCCCATGCTCGTTTCCGGACACAGTACCCCCGCTACTGAGCCCGACCGTCGTTTCCCGCCGATTTCTTGGTCTCCACAGTCCGACGTTGCATGTACTCGTCGTTCTTCTTCTTAGCTTCCGAGCCGGTGCAGTCTCTTGCAAAATGTCCACGCCGATGGCACGCGAAACACTCCGGTTCCAAATCACACTGACCAGACATGTGTCCCTGCTGGCCACAACGGTAGCAACGCGGTCCGGCTGTCTGGTCACCGTCTGTAGGTCTCTCTCTCCCTGTGCGCTGACCCGTGATATTCGTCCTTCCACCGCTTGGTTTCTCTTCCGTAGCAGCCTGACGCACCGCCGCCTTCAGTTTCCTCGGTTTTGGCCTGCCAGCTGCCCCGTCATCGCTCGAGTCGTCTCTCTCCCGTCTCTTCTTCTGATGCACAGCAGGCGACTTGCCCTTCGACCCGCTGTTGTCGCTCGACGCCACCGCCGCACGCTTCTTGTCCGTCCTTCGTGGTTCGTACCAATATTTGCCGTTCCATAGGTGGCCAGGCGGTGGGTCCCACGTGCCCGAATATGCGTTGTATACACCTTGAGGACTAGTGAAAAGGGCCACGGGCCGTACGTCACCAGCCGCCGTCGTGCCGTTCTCGCCACCAGCCGACATCAGCGTCGGAACTCCCGTACCGCTGATCCCCGGAATCACGCCAGTTTGGCCCGTAGTGCCGTCCATAGGTATCACGTAGCGACTTGGCGCGATCGCCCATGCTTGCCCGATGTTGGCCATCCCTTGGGCCACGTTGTCCATGGGGTCGTCAATCTCGGTTGCCTTGTCGACTGCTTCCTCCAGCGTCCTTGGCTTAGGGTCCTGCTTGACGAGCTTCCTCGTCGTTTTATCCAAACACCGATAGAATTGGGCTAATAGAACACGTTCACTTACTTTGTTCCTTCCAACCATGCCTCGTAATCCGGCTGCAAAGTCGGCATGTGTTTCCCCGGGCATCATGCGCCTCATGCTGACCCGCCACTCAGCCGCAGACTTGTCAAGCTTTTCTCCATACCGTCGCAACAGGGCTCTCATCAGGTAAGTCCACGTTCTCCGACGGTCGCTTAGCCGCCGATCCATGTCTACCCACCACTTAGAAGCACTTTCCATAAGCTTATTGCCAAGAATAAAGTAGAGGGCTTTGTCTGACCACGTGCCTCTTCCACTCTCTTCCGCTCCCTTCAACGCGAGCTCCACTCGATCGATCCACGTACTAACGCTCACTTTGGGTGAAGGGGTGAACTTGGGAAGCTCCAAGTCTTTAACACTCTTCTTTCGTGGCCGTCGCCCCGGCTCGTGATCTCGCCGTTCGCGGCGTTCATGCCGTCCACGTTGTCCGTGCCGTCCGCGTCGCTCATCTCGTCCTCGGTGTCCGCGTGCTTGATCTTGCTCGTCTGAACTCACGTCCGAGCTGCTCGGGCTGCTGCTCGCACTACCACTGCTGCTCTCCTCGTAATGACGGCCCGCTCCACCGCGCTCCTCCTCACTAGACGACCCACTCGAGTCATCATCGCCTGACGATGGCGGGCTCTCGTGCCTCGCTCGTCGTTGTGCCGGTCGCCGTGCGTCGTCATGCTGCTCGCGCCGTGCGTCGTCATGCTGCTCGCGCCGTGCTACCTGCCGACTTTCCCGACGCTCACCACGTCGAGCTCCTCTACCGTGCCGCTGCCTGCTGCGTCGCCCATCTCCGCGTCCATCGCGTGAGTCCACGCTATGACTACTTCTGGAGTGGTCGCGTCGCTGTTCCCGGCCGGAGTCGCCCCGGTCTCGTCGCACTACGCGTCCTTGCTCGTGGCTTGCGGACTGGTGTTCCACCACCACTTCCGGTGATTGATGAACGCCGGCTTGCTCTGTCTCCACCTCGCCGTTGTCCACTTGTCGGTTGTCTGCGTCATTGCCAGTGGACGCCGTCAGATCCGCCACCATCGACATCAACTGCGTGAGTGTCTGGGTCACGTCCGCTACGCTCGCCGCTGTCGGTGCCTTCGTTGTTGCCACCGCTCCACCTTCATGCCGAAGACCTTTTACTGTCGTGGCCAGCTGCTGGAGAGTACTAGCAATTGCCGCCATACTCACAGCATCGTCACTACTCGTGCCGTCGTTCTCCTTCGTCTCTTCGTCCTCCAACAAGTCCCGCGTCGCGGCGGCATCTCCCCGAGGCGTCCCGGTTTCCATACTCTGCGATCTCGAAGGTGTGTCTTGCCCAGTCGTCGATTGCTGCTTCCTGCGACGGCCGGACTCGGCTTCGTCCTCCGTTTCTTCTGGGTCGTCAGGGCGCTGCCCCTTGATTGGCTCACTGGATTTCCCTGTCGCACGCTCCGAAACCAGCATTGCGTCCGTCCCGCCCATCATTCTGGCTGTTGAAGATCTCGTAATCATCGTCTCGCTCGGTTTCTTGTTCGAGTCACTTCGCTGACGTCCCGTACTTCGTTGCTGTTGTAGCCCCTGTATGACCACCATGTAACAAGTCTTCGTAACGCCTGCTTGCCGGCGGGTCGAAAGCCACAGTGCCCACTGCGTAGTTCTTGTCCTAGTTCGTCTTTGATCTCGGCACACTAACACGACTATAGGCCACAGTAAAGCAGCCGGACTCGCGTCCTATTTATTAATACTCAATAAAGCACTACCCGTAGTGCTCTTCGACTCGCTCTCACTCGAATTGGTTGCTCCGTCTCTCACCACGAAGACTTCTCGTCAACGACCGCTGTCTTCCTTCCGATTCGCACAACGAACCGTCCCCAAGATCCCACGTACGAAGCCTTCTCTCGCTCGCGACCCCGGATACCTCAAACACCAGAGCCACCGAACGCCAGACACCACACGCCGCCTTGGAACCCAGCCCTTCGCACTACACGTCCGTTCAACTGCAGCCCACCGGTGGTACGTCTCCCACCGTCTCGCTCGCCACGCGTTCGCCTCAGAACTGGTGCTCACCGATGCACACCGCGCTTGTTCTCACACGAACTCGTCACTGCACACGAAGTCGGACTCCCACACACGAGCCAACTCCGTACTGCACTTCACGCTCTGGTCACTCGTCACCAGACCTCAAACCCGTAACTGCACTTGTTTTCGACCGCGCAGATTCGTAACTGAGTGATCAGCAGCCCTCCCACCGGCGACTACCGCCACTGACCATCACTCCTGGTGCCTGAAGCACCTGCAACGCACTCTCGGCATCTGTCGTGCCACCTCTTCGAGCCCTGTTTGACTCGATCGTCCTACTCACTTCTCGAACTTCGAACTTCACGGCACGGTCGTGCCGGATCTCCAGCTGCCCACCGTTACTTTGTACCCTTAGATTCACAGCCGATCTTCAACCACTACTCCGAGTCGCCATCCTCGGTGATCTTCGGTACTTCGAGGCGTGCGTCGTCATTTCCTGACGCTGCCGTCATCACTCCGTTACAATTTAAATCTTCAAACTCCGCCTCTTCAGCAGTAAAGTCTATCAGCACGCAGTTGTCTTCAGTGATGGTACTAGAACCACTAAGAGTAGTAAGAGCGACAGTGACAGCGAGGATGAACAACTTGATCATGGGTACGTAGACGAGTGTCAAAAGGAAGACAAAAGGAAGACTGATGAGGACGTCCGAACGCTGAATATCAACCAAATCATGGACTTGAGTCGATATTCAGATCATCGGGCAAATACCAGACAGTCACCAGTAGTAAGTCAGCACTGCCAGCCGATACTATCATTAGATACGGTTACAGTTGGGTGGGATCAGACAACGGTAAATCCGCCGTATCTTAGAACACGCCTGGTCCAAACTATTCTTTTTTTTCACGAAAGCCAACAGTTTAACAAGTCAACGTTTCTGTGGCGTTTCTGTGCAAAGGGTATGGAGAAAACGCATTTCTTCAACCCTTATCCTGCGAACTGTCCGTTGGGATAGCCGTTTCATAACTGCGATTTCGAATGCCTCATCACCGCATCCACCTGTACTCTGCAGCCAGGATATTGATTAAATAGGTGTGTGAATACCAGTGCGTTGAATTCCTGAATCGGTAAGTAATCGACCATTTACTAAATAATTGATGCACGCATAGAATGCAGTTTGAAATTCTATATGAGCTCTTTCAGTTCAAAAGGGCCGAGAGTGAAAAAAAAATACCCCTCGAGGACCCGCCTGCAGATAATTTATACATCTGCACCGATTCGCCACTGGCGCTGGCGAACTGGTTGTGGGGTTACGAGAGAGATGGGTTGTTGACAATGGCTACGGTTTACGCGGCCGAGTTTATGGTAACAAAAAGGTGATAAAACTGATTATCATTCTCTAGTCACCATAAACTCGTCCGCGTAAACAGTAGTCATTGCAATCGCGGATGGGGTAACCTCAATTATT